GGGATCATCTGACAGAGAACGGAGCCAAAGGCAGCGTTCTCTTCAAAATAAAGCAGCTCAGAGCAGATATTCACTTTAAGCTCTTCATACTCACACTAACTCTGTTTTTTTTTCTCATTTACCATATTTACATTTCTGTTAGACAGGGCTCCAATAGACAATTGCTACTATTTCCTGACCCACATAACTGTTTTTCTTACCAAAATTCATCTTTACAGTGTCAGGTTAAGGCTTCCAGCTCATATTCTGATGGCTCACTTTCCTAAGAGGCTTTCTGTGCTATAACACTAACTAACACACATGTTTCTGCAGCCAAAGTCCTATTTCACGCTCAATCTAACTGCAAGAGGCCCTTCAGAAATCTCTCCTGGATTTGAACAACATCGGTTCTCTGTTAGCTAGCCTTCTGGTGAGGAGAGCTCCTTTTTTTTTTACAGAGCTGAGGGTCAGTGGTCAGAGGAGAAAAGCAGGTGAAGGGAAGCTAATCTGGTTACCCAATCCCCACAGAGACCCCCCCCCCACACACACACACACACACACACACACACACAGCAGGAGGAGACTGAGCGCGTGTCTGTAAATGGATGCACAACAAATGGATGCAGATTTATGGGCCGATACGCACACAGGAAATTGGAGCAGCTTTATTTTTCTGGCAGTGATTTGCGGGGACATTTGTTGTGCGAGTCCTCCCTGTTTTCCCTCACAGCTCAAGTGGGTGAACTCGTGTCACGTCGGGGAAAAACACAGACAGATCTGACCATCGCTATATGTGCTATGTCAGCCGTCCCTGCTGAGGAGGGCTGGTGCTTTTCTGGAGTTGTTGTGGTGTGGAGGCCAGTGGCCCTCAGCTATAAGAGGAGCACTGACCGGACCAGGACCGGGAGGCCAGCACCCAGAGGGCAATCCTTTTCCTATTTTTTCCTTTTTTCCATCACTTTTCCAGAGAGTCACATGATTCGATAGAGTCGGGTAAACCCCACTTATTTTAAAAAACCGAGCAACTACCAACTTCTGATTTTGATTATTGCTCTGATGGTACGCATTACAAATACATGTGAACCCACTCGGTGGTCCCGCTTCTTCTCTTTTCCATATTCCCTTTTTCCTTTTTCGATCCATCCTATAGTTTCCTTAGTTTACTTTAGTCCTATTCCTTAGTTCCTTTGAGTCTTTTTTAGTGCCTCCTAGAATCCGAGGGGGGGAATTTTGGGTCTTAGGGTTTAGGGTTAGGATGGAGGTTAGGGTTAGGAATGGGGTAAGGGTTATGAATAGGGTTAGGGTTAGGGCAGCGCTTATCGGGCTGTGGAGCTGTAGCTTCAATCAAATTACGGTTCATAATGTGTCAAAAATCTTTTTTTTTCCAGTACGTTTGCAGCATGTTTGCTTTATGAAGGAAGATAAAAAATAAAAGAGCACAGGAGCCAGCTGGTGTTGGACAGAGCCTTTGCTGCCCTCACATCACGGGGAGGTCAGCCCTCGGCCGGCTGTTCTGGCCAGAGCAGAACTCTGAGCAGGTTGTCCGGCTGTCAGACGTCCAGCGTTTGGCTCCCATGTTTCCCATCATGAAGCCTGTCCTTTTCCAATATGGCTGCCGTTTGCTTCTCACCATATAAGGAGCATTCCCCCTGCACACACACAGCACGGCCACTTTAGAGACTTTCTCAGAGACGCCATCCAGCTCAGAACAGCATCACCTATCGTCATGGCGATCGTCCATCGAGTGTACAGAGCTGTCCAGGGCTCCGGTCTCCGGACTGTGGATGGTGCCCAGGCTGTGTGACTCACACGGTGGCCCGATGCCTGTCACTGAGTTAATGCTGTTTCTCTGGTCGTTCACAGGAAGGATTTCGAGGAGCTGTTTGATGTCATCATCACTAACGCCCTGAAGCCTGGCTTCTTCTCCCTGGTGCCCCACCAGAGACCTTTTAGGACCCTTGGTGAGTAATGACCAAGAATAGAAGCTACTGTTCTTTCATTCAAAACAGGTATCACAACAAGGGCTACTCAACACAAATGATAAAAGAAAAAAACCTTATCCTCTGCCTTATCCTTCATCTGCCACTTTCTCATTTCCTCCCAAACTGTCGCTGTTACTCTGAGTGTGTCAGACTTAACTGACCATCTGACAGCAGATCATTTGACTTGCTCCCTGCAGCAGCTGGCCATTCTCTTATTGAAATAGCTTTTTGGCCTTCGTCTTTTTTTTCCTTTTCTTTTTTTTATGATTGATGCAGCAGAGAAATTTGAAAAATGTGAAACAACACAATTTTCCGACCAAAAATTGCGCAATAGACGTGCAGTTATATAATACTGAGGCCTGAAAGTTTGAAAAGACATTTCAAGTTTTTTTTTTGTGATGAGTCCTACATAGAGGACCCCAAAGGACACACACTTTTTCCACACATCCATTCACAGGTTGGAGTGACCGCATAACAAGAAAAAACTCAGATTGTGTGTTGATCGTCAAAATATTTGGGTGATGTTTGAACTTCAGAAAAGGAACTGGAAGGTCCTAAAAGATAAAACTTCATATTTTTAATACTAATTTATTGTTTCCTGTAGCAGCAGCTAACGCTAACCGCTTAGCTCATGAAGATGCTACTCATTGGCTCTCATTTTTGACAGATGAACATTATTTTAGGACATTTCTTTGAGTCTTTCTGACTGAACGGTTCCACTCAGAAACCTGGGGCTGTGTGAATAAGGTGTGTTTCCAACCAGCCCTCTCCTCACTGAAGGCCGCGTGTTAGCATCACATTATCGGCATGTTTCTGATAAAGATAGAAGTCTCCAAGTTCAATTGTTTAATGAGGTTATATACAGGAATAATAAACCAAAGCAAACCAAAATCTGGGTGTTTAGCAGCACCTTCTGCAGGCAGATGGAACATCTTCACATCAGATCTCCGGCTGATGGGACTGGCTCCTCAACTGAGGAGACTTCATGTTGGGAGGAAGTGAACATGCCATCTGGTGCCCAGTGAGTTTCCTGTTGCTCATCATGAAGAAAATCCAGGAGCTATTAGATTGTTCCAGATACTGCTCTGTGTCCAATCCGGTGGAGCTCAGGTGGACCAGCAGCAGGTCTTCCTCAGTTTGGCCAGTAAACATTACACGTTACTCTGAGCTCTTCACGTTCTCAGTCTGTTTATGAGCCTAAAAACCTTATTTAGAAGAGTGTCCCTCTTTAAAGCTGATATCAGCTTAAACACCAGTGAAATATGTTGGCTCAGTGTCATCATCTGTAAATAGTTTATTCATGTTTATACTAAAAACCAGCACATCAGGATTTTTAACAAGCGTTTGTTTGTCGATTAGGTGGGTTTCTGCAAAGAAATGCCGATTAGGAGGATAACAGGGTTTTGGTGGAATTGTTCACATTCCAGAGCCTTAATGCAGCTCGCTCCTGATCGTTTGTGCAGATTTTGCACCCACCCACTGAAAAGCTGCTCTCCTACCGTTTGCAGACACACAAAGAGAATCACCTTTTCTACTGAACTGCACACCGGCGGACCAGAGACAGACTCAGATGTCTGGCTCATCAAAGGGAATGTTCTTATAGAAATCAGGAAAGTGGTCGGCCACCTTATTCCTAAATCCCAACTACCTCTGAAATAAAGGTGGCAGGCCCCCTGGACATTTGGGGCATTTGGACCGTCTGTAGGTCGGTTTGGAATCAGTCTGCCACGTAGGCAGCCGAGTGCTTTCATCTCCTGGTTTGGATAACGTAGCACAGGCCGGGCTGTAATCAAAGGAGTGTGTTCTTCCAGAGCAGATTCAGAGCTTCTGCTTATCTCAGCTGCACCATTCTCAGTATTCTAAGAAGAGGACCTCATACCAATGGTTCCTGTTGCCCTGAAGTCCAGCCTCGTACAGCTGTCAGCGAGGGGGGGGGGGGGGGGGGCTCCAACACACAGCTGCTGCTGGTCTCTGTTCGCTCACTCTCTGCTGCCATAATATTTATTGCATATTTAACCTCAGTGTGAACCCACACCTTAAGCAGCCGCCTCTGCAGAGCCTCCTCCATCCATTCTCTAATAACAAGATGTCACTCAAATGTTCGGCCATTAGTCAAAGTTTCCATTTATCAGAAACAGTTTCTACATTGTTTCGACATTTTACACGTTGCGGTGTGTGGAAATCTTTGATCCACTTGTTGAGACTCAAGAAACAGAATCTTTTGAATAGAAGATAAAGTTCCTTTATTGGAATACAGAAGAAGAAATTAATTTAAAAAATCAATGCTAGTCATTAAAGATGCTACAAAGACATTATGTGAATAGAAGATCAACTAAAGATCTCCTTGAATTAACAAAAGATAAAAAAATAAAAAAAGATCACTGTTTAGGAAACAGGAAAACGTATCAGCATAAATGACCTGTAAGGAAACACAGGAAAGGTTCCTCACTGCCAGCAGACAATGGAAAAAAAACCTCGCTGATATCTGCTGGGCAGGAAAAAGCACTGAAAGGAAAAAGAGAACGGACATCTACAAAAATCTAAAACAAAAACAAACCAACAAACAAAGTCAAACACAAAAATGCTTAGCGAAGCAAAACAGGTGGAGTCCCAGAGAAGCTAGCTTGAATCAAATGGAACAGAATGGCCACACATTGACAAACACGCAAGGAAACATGTGAGCAGCTCAGAGCAACAGGAACACAAGTCATCATCTGGCAGCTGAAGCTGTTCAGCTCAAAGAGCAGCTCCTTTATTGGCTACAGAGGTGAGCCAATGTGCCACACCTCCCCAAAGGCCTTCAGGATAAAAAGATCAAAACTAATAAGGCTAACATTATCAGTCATAACTGTAGTGAAAGCATGTTTTTAGAAACTTCCAAAAACTCAAATCCTATCTGTTTCCTTTCATTCCTGGACAGATGAAAAAGTGGTTATTAACTCATTGACTGCCAGCCATTTTCAGAACAGAGAGTCCCATACTGCCAGAGTTTTTTGAGCATTTTGACTGATTTTTCAAGAGCCACAGAATAGTTTGTGCTATGACTATGTAAACACCGAACACACCAAAAGAAAGAGTAGACTCT